TTGGTGAGGAATTGTTCCGCATTTTGATGCAATGTTCACATCTGGTAGTCACATGTTTTGACCCCCCCCCCACAAACCCTTCTAATATATGCCGTGGTGTTCCGGGAAGTGTGACGATTGGTCGGAGGGGAACTCCATCTTTTGCATAGCATCGCGTAATCTTTGTGACATCGGCGTTCATTATCCATCGCTCTAGGCTGGTGAACTCTTGCCCGTAGCTGCTTCAATATTCCGTTGAAATCATGGCTGTACCCACGGACGTCGCAGATTTTTGGATCACCGTGTGCTGGTTACGATTTTTGCTTCGGATTACTGTGTTATTAGTGCTTTCTGTGTAATTTGTGCCCCAATATTCTTCCTTTGGCGTAGTTTCCAAGCGGTGCACATTTGGCGGCTATTCTTCGGCTAGTTCCAGAGATCTCATTGCTTTGCCCTACTGCCATCTCGGTCCGCCATCTTGGATTTGCTCTAGCTTGTGATGCCGTCTCAAGCTACTTGTGGTTTGTGTTCGAAAGTTGTGGGAAATAAGGCACATACACATCGGTGCTTCGGCTGCGAGGTTTGTTCCATATTTTGTGCATTGGTTTATCAGTTGACGTGTTTCGAAAATCTCTCCACATCCGACATCGGTTTTTTCTAGTTATATGTGATAAATGTCACGGTGCAAGACATCAGAATAAACAGCGACCGTCAGCATCTACGAGAATATCTCTCTTCCAGACAGAGACAAATCGTGTACCACGTGCAATCAAACGCCCTCGTGGAAGTACCTCTGTCACCTCGCCTTCTCTTGTTACTCCGCGATCTGCACCTCCACCAGCGTCTTCGACCCCGGCCGATCCTCAGGTTCAGTGTTCCCCACCGATGGGAGACTCAGACTCGGAACCTACGAAATGCCGCTTCACTGATCGCTCCGTGAATTTCTCAGAGCCTGTCTCTGAACTTCTGAACACCGAGGATCCATGGACCACTCAAAAGCGCAAGGGGCCGCGTAATCGAGTTCAGACGTCCCCTGCTGATAAACAACCATCCAATCAGACAAGCACCTCTAGTTCGATTCCCACAGGTTCATCACCGATTTCGCTGAGGCGTCATAACCTCAGCATCTTCCACGTACCGGAGTCAAAAGATGAAAACCCTCAGATACGTTATGATCACGATATTGAGTTCCTCCAGGGGCTCATCGATAGACTCTTGGATGTGGGCAAAGCCAGTGTGACGATTAAACAAGTAATCAGACTTGGCCAGAAAACTAACCAGTCATGTCGACCGCTGAGAATCGCCTTTGCAAATCTCAATATGCCGCAGCCCAAACTGTCTCGTCTGTCAAGGCTAAAAGTCATAAAAGTTCACATCCGCCGAGACTTGGAATTCGAAGACAGGGATCGTTTGAAGACTGCGGTCATTGAGCTCAAACGCCATACAGAGGAAGGTGTGACTGACTTACAAATCGTAAATTTTCGGCTGACCAAGAAGGGTGTACGAAGCCGTATCAACGGGTCGCTCAACCTCCGGGTGCCTCTTGCAGTACCTCCCAGGACCACCGTGTGGCATACGCCAACGTGTGCAACCTAATGAACAAATGTGAAGAACTGTGCCGCTTCGCTGTCTCGGAGCGGCCGGACATTTTAGGACTTGCAGAGACTTGGCTGAACTCCGACGTCATACCCCAAGAAGTCGTGTTGTCAGGATACTCTTGTTTCCGATGCGACCGAAAATCAAACGCTCACGGTGGTGTTCTGTTGTACATAAAATCGTCACTATCTGGCAAACTTACCAGCACCTATCGAAGCGAGGATAGTTTATGCGAGCAATTGTGGTGCACAATCCGCCTTAGACGCGCAGAACTAATAGTGGGTGTTATCTACCGTAGCCCATTAAACCGTTGTTGTGATTGGCTACCACATGTACAGAAGCACATGAGCCGCCCTCAGTTCTTACTGATGGGGGATCTAAATTTACCTGAGATATTTTGGCCAGACCTTCGACTTCTTCCCGGTCATGGCAACGTTGAGGCTCAAGTCACTAAAACGACTATTGAAATCGGGGCAACGCAACATGGCATCTAACCGACGCGCGTAACTCGGCATCTTGTCCGGACCTATTGTTTACGAGCTGCGTGCAGAAGCTGAATGAGATCAGAGACATCGACCCACTGGCGAACAGTAACCACCGTTCCATTATGTCATGCTTCGAAGTGTCTTTACCGTATTACAACCAACGGAAGCCGACATACAACTATTGGCAGACAGACTTCGACGGACTCTTCCAAGCCGCAAGTCAGACTGATTGGACACTACCATAGGATGTGTCGCTTGGGACTTGTTGGTCATTAATGAAGGGAAAGCTTAACTCTCTCTGTATTCCGTTCGTTCCCCGTAAGTATTCAAAAATCGGACCTGTCAAACCGCATTGGTTTGATACGGAATATAGACAGCGCGACGGCGTCGCAAAGTTTGGGAGAGATACGTCAGCTCGGGTTGGGATGAAGATTACACAGTGTACAAGAAACAGCGTAAGTTGTGTAACGCTGCAAAGCTCAAGAAACGCCGGCAGTTCGAAGAGGAGCTAGCATTCTCAGCCACAACCGCACCCAAACTAATATTCGCCTACGTGAAACGTCAACTGAAATCTGGGGGCGACCTACCGGTTTTAGAGAGCTTGGACAGACAGACGCTTATTTCAAGCGCGGAGCGCGCGGAAGCGGAATTCGGTTTGGTCCGTGTCTTTCCAGACGTGCTACGGAACAAGTGTAAGCGAGTGAGGCAGAAGTTAGGAGAGTTCTGCATAGATACCGCAGCCAGGACCGTTTTCGTCCACGACGTACCCCAGTCTCATGAGCAGGAGGAAGGAGAAGCAGGGGCTCCCAACCAGAAACATTGGTGCTATATTCTTGAGGCCCTGCTCTTGGATGACATAGTAGTTACTTCTTTCAAGGCTCCCAAAATAAGCATGCTAATTACGGCGCAGCTCAAAGATAATGAAGCTTGTGCTACAAACTAGGCAGATGGCACTTAGGCTAGTGAAACGATGACAGTCCCTTCGGAGCAGATTGCCAACCGAGCTCCAGTTCAAAGCCGTGAGTGACTTCTCATCAGGCAAACGAAGTAAGGACCCATACATAAATCACAATGGTAGCATTTCTGGAAGAAGTAAGAGGCTTTCTATGCATTCTGTAACCACTTTGCATCCGTTGTGCAAACTGGATGGCCAGAGGGGATAATTACGATGCCACTGGATCCAACACAAAGAGGCTGGCCGATAGCACCACCAAAAAGCAGCCAGTGGCCGACCATCTAATAATTGGCACAACCACTCATCCTAGCCACAAGTGTTTCGGATCGCTGCTGAGAACCGAAAAATTTTCCCGCATGCACACAACTACCCATCGCCAGCTTAGCACAACCGTCGAGCTTCGGTTGTATCGGACAACAAACCCTCGGGATCTCATGTCCATAACCGAGAAATGATTGCATTCAGAGGTTACAGATGTCGAGGTCATGATTCAGGGAATATCATTGTTCCGACACCATAGTCCCAGCAGGGCAGGCGGTGTTATCCTATACTGTCGAAATGACTTACAATGCGAACCACTGTGTGATCCAGAGACGCGGGTCACCGACTCGGTGTGGTGCCGTTTGCGTCTCAGATACACTGACGACTGTTTCGTAGCAGTCGTATGTCGTTTCCAATCGTCCACTCCAGTGTTGGATTCCTGCCTAGCATCGGAGCTGACAGAAAGATTATTTCTGACATGCAACCACCTTATCTCCGGCAATTTCAAACTGTACAATCTGGAGGCAACCGCATCCCCAAGCGGAACATACAAAGCCGAACTGCAAGACCTTATGGAGAGTGTTCCGCTCTACACTCACATCACCTGACCTACCAGGTACAGAGCTGATAACAAACAATAAATAAAATAAATAAATGGTATATTCCTCGGTGATTCGAGGTGCAATCCAACTGTGTGGTCTGATCAATGTGTACAATAGGATCGCAAAAGATAATCAATTTGTTCACGCTTTTCACAATGGATCCAAAACAGGTACTAAACTAATTGGCAGGATTAATGCATTGAAGAAATTAAAAACCAGGAACAATAAGGTATGCAGATTTAAACAGATGTCCAGTTAAAGTAATACGGCCACTCGTGGAACCATCCCCAGGGGACCTGCTTCCGTGCAAGGTATTCCCTCGAAAGGTTTCGCCCGCAGTTCCATACAATAACTCGCATCGACAGGCGAATCTGCCTTCCGAAGTTGTATATTCTTGCGGCGGAACATGAGTTCCTTAAGGAGGATTGTGATTCCGTTAACAATTCAATTGACTCAGAAATGTGCAGACTACAAAGAACTGAGTTGTGGTCGCTCTCCTGACTGTTTTAACCTTTGGATACCTAATCACAGGTCCACTTCATACATATAATTACTAATCTTCTTATTATTCACCTTACTCGATGGGTATCACAGTGGTGATGTGGCTTGACTCTGTGATGTGCCCAGAATCCAGGGGAACGCCGCCCACTCAAGCATGTGTCGAATGAACAAGGCAGAAGTGAGGAAAGCTAGCGCGAAGGGAACTCAGTTTATGTGCAAACAGGAAAAGAGGATTTGTAAAAGGAACAGTGAACAAACATCACATATGCGCTTCAAATTTGTGTACGGTATGGAATAGTCAATACTACGAACAACTGATATATGACCACTGTCCAGACGTTAATAAAACCAATAGAGAACTAATCCATGGGTCCTATTGCGGATAGCGTTGACCACCGATGTTGTGGTTTGATCCCTAACTATCACCGAACGCTCGTCCAGGACCACTTGTGTTGTTGAACGGTCCACGCTCCCTCGCATTGCAGTAACTGAGCATCTCTCAACGCAGCAACGGAAAGTCTCCTTCCATCGGGCCACAGTCTCAAGGAATATCAACTACACGTAAGTCAAACACAACGATGTAACCGTGTCATTCAATGGACTCTCTAGGATTGAACTCACTTCTCTTGTCGGTGCGTTGTGTACTGTCGACGGGTCCGATTTTCTCCTATGACTCGCGATCCGCGTTTGGCTACTTGGAAGGATGTCCTAATGGGATAAAAATCGCAAAATATTAAGCGCTGTGGAGGATCGAATTGTACAAACTGAATCCTCAGTTGCTGGTGGTTTTGCCTACGATACCCACGCGTTTACTCTCTCGTACCGTCCTAGATAGGTTAACGTAGTCGGCTTGGCTAATCGACTATCGGTACAGGGATCCGACTTCCTGAAGTTTGGATCACACTAACTGATGACTATTGGCCTCACCCTGCCAAGTGATCCACCCCATCGTTAGTCTACAATTAACTTGGTCCTGGTTGTAGCCGGTCTTCCCCGGTCAGACGGTTATGTGGCGTCGCCAAGCCTGTACGAGTTTTCTTAGTGTTGGTGTTATTAAGCCGCATTACATCGATTTCACAGTTGTGCGAATTCCAGCAACCTATATCCACCATTCTTGAGGCTCCTCTGTCTAAACTTAAACTCATGGTGACAATTAGCTTCGAACATAATACACTCTCGTTCTCATTACGTTCGAATATGTAGCTAAGCTCACATTAGGCTCTAACATTCATTGCCCTTATCCGTGAAGTTTGCATTGTAAACAGTCGTTTCTATGCGTAGAAATGCTAATGATTAACATGCCCCATAAGATTTATGGGGGACATTACGGGAAACAAATTAGTGTCAATGGAAAAGTATGTGTTAGCGGAGTTACCAGGAATTTAGACTGAGCACATAGCTTTTGTTACGTTGATGCTCCGTAAGAAATGGCCATATTATGTTGTCTAAATATATGCCTGCATCACCGAGACCTTTTTCCATACTGGTAATCTGGCGGAACAGATAACACAAGTGGGAAGTGTTTTTCATGGTTGGTTTTTACGAAGATGAAGTTCAGGCCTTGTTTTAACTGGTTATCCTAGGTGGCCAGCTTTAAGTAATAACCTCTCAGTTGGGTTATATGGTTGGTTGGCGGCATCCGGTTCCGGATTTGCCTATCACCGGCCTCCATATGACAGTCACAGAACGTCTGCGCCTACAGAGGGACCGTGATTGCCTTGCGCTGCACCACCCACAACTCCATCCACATACGCCATATCCAGCGTAAACCCGAAGAAATAGGATCGGGAAGCATGTGGATGGTGGCCACGTTTCATCAACGGAGCCGTCTCACACTCCTTTAACATGCACAGCGGCAACATTCCTGTCTATCTGTGTAGGGAATCATGCCTTCCAGACGTACACAAGGCGATGACTGGACCGTAGTTCACTCCACACTGGATAGAACCACTCTTGGAGCCTAGCGCGGCCACGAGGGCCGTGCATCCCTCCCCCCCTCCAGCAACGACTCACAGTCTCCTGGAACCAGTAATCGATGAGGAGAATGTTAGACAGGTAGGCACCTTGTAAATATACACATCAAGCGCAGCCACACTTAGGATATCAAACAACCAACATCGAATTTGATGGAAAGCAAACACGCAAAATTGACACGAAGTCTGCAGCAGAATAACAGAATTGAACAATTAAAGTGTAATGACTTTTATCCGGCTTACAAAGAGCTAGTCTAAATGTAAGTCGGTTTAGCCCAACTGCGACGAAGAAGCATCATGAGTGCAACATCAATCTCCGCATTAGGCATGAGGTAGTATGTTTATAATCATGATAGTACTACTGATAATACTACGTATATTTCTCATAATCCGAGAAATCGTGTCTGTAGTGGCACAGATCAGTATGTACAAAAGCGACCATACGCGTGCATTGACAGTATACCTAATTACTATATTGGGCATGCGATTCGTGTAATAACGTTTTGGTGCATCGTGGAGGCTAAAGCGAAGGTTTGGAAACGTGTATTGTTTGATGTTTTGGGCCCCTATTTGAATAGCTCATGAATGGATTTTTCCCATGTGAATAGAGTCATTATGGTATTCAGGTCAAGATAACTTGAGAGCTTGTCATTAAATATTGCCACATGGTCACATGACCTGAGAGTGATTGGCAGTTTATTCCACAGATAGCTTTATCTGACCAGTAAGAAATTTGACAGGATGCTTGTTCCAGACTTCGGTATAATCCATGCATAATCTTGTTCCGGAGCTCTCGAGTTGAGCTACGCTTCAGTTACCATACAGAACACAAACCGACATTCGCTAAACAGAACCACAGTGCATTAACGCTCGTGTGCACTAACGTTCCTGAGTCCAAATCTGGCACAATAAAAGGCAAGTTGGTAGATGATCGCAACCAGTGGAATTCCATCTACGGTGAGATTGGTATTCGGGTTGAGCCAACTGCGCTACGATGCGTAGCGCAGTCCTGATCTCTGCAGTTCATTTTCGCAACTAATCGAGCGGGGTAGGCATACCACTGGATGGAAAGGGTGGTCAAAGGAAAAGGAAAACCATGGCGGCCTTTCTACGAACGGAAGCAAGAAAACCGTATTTGTTCATGGTGTTCCTAAACTACTGGGCTCTCCTGATCACGAATCGCAAAAACATGACCGAGAGCAGTTGTGCTACATTCGCGAAACACTATCTCTGGAGCACGTTATCGCTAAATCACTAACGAGAATTCCTTCATCTTCAAACTACAAGTCTGCGGTACAAAAATATTGAAAGTCGTGCCATAGACTGAAGGAACGACAGAAGTCTTATTGGATAGTTGGTTGAAGCATCGTTCCAGGTTACCTACCGAGATTTGGCTAAAAATAGCATACGCACGATTACTATTTGTCAGCACTTCATTAGAACATGCAACCTACATAAAATAGTTGCCACCACAATCCTGCAGAGTGGTAGACAATATAGCCTTCGCAACACCTGACGGGACAGGGAGACACGCAAGAGAAAATCTCGATCTGGTATGTTCCTGCTACCATGCAGCCTGCTTGAAGTTCAAGAACCAATGACCCACACAAAAAACGATTAGCGGCCGACCGAAGAACGGTCGGCTTAAAACTAACCACGAATTTGTTCTACACCCACACACTTCCAACCTCAAAAACACTATCATGTTTGTACACAAAATCTCAAGGCCTTCTTAGTAAGTTGATCGAACTTAGAGAACGCAAGCAGTCACAACCGCAAGATCTCATTATGAGTACAGAGACCTGGTTAAGCCTTGAGATAGCAGATTCTGAGGTCAATTTACCTGGTATGTCGCTGCTTCGGAATGACAGAGCTGGAAGTGGTGGCGGCGTAATTCCGTATTACAAGGCTAATCTCCGATGTGAACTTAGTAACCATCCAGTGATCCATGCTCCAGATTCACTTTGGTGCTAGCTATGGTTGCGGAACAAAGACACATGTTTTATAGTTGTGCTTTACCGTCCAACAAACTCTATGTGTGAATTGGACTAAATACTGTAGCAAGTTCTTCAGGTTGCTTTCAGCAAGTCGTACAGTCACATTCTCATCGCAGGCGACCTTATTGTGCACGACCTGCAAATAGCGGAGACCGGTAGCATGCAGTTCAAAGCCTGTTTATAAGAGATAATTTCCAGTTACCCTCTGAACAACCATGTGACCTCTCCCACCAGATTTCCAGCTGCTAACAAACCGTCGATACTTGATCTTGTGCTCACTAATGAAGAACTCATGGTCGACGGAATAATTACAAGTACACCAATGGGTCGCAGGGACAATGTGACTCTACTGTTTGACTATGTATGTTATGCGGAATACTCTAAGGAAGATGATGAAAAAGTGGATACGGGCACGCACTACAACGTGCTATCCGCGTTTGTTAAGGAGGTATCTTGGACCTTCTGATTACTGATTACTAGTTAGAACCAGCAAGTAGAGTTTGCATTGTGTAGCTGCATCTAATATCACTCAGGGCGCCCAGTTTGATCGTCAGTGACTTCATTTTCCGCAGCCAAGTCAACTTTTGTCCACCTAGAACCTTGCACGACCCTAGATGTGGTAGGCAAAAACAAAATCCTCCTCGGTAAGCAGTGAGCAGGCATACGTAGTACGTGCCCAAGCCAACGCAACGTATCCAGTGCTATCTGTTGTACTAAGGAACTAGCATGGGTATTATTGACTAACATTCGCCTACGTACATCTTCGTTGTGGACACGCTGGTGCCACCTGACACCAGCAATGCTCCGCAGACAGCGATGATCAAAGAATTGGAGACGCCACAGATCAACGGACCGAAGGGGCCGTTTCACTACCATAAAGCAGGACGGCCCACACTGTGTCCTTGAATATACGGCTTTTCAGACAAAGGGAGACCCCTTTCTGTCGCCAAAGATGTCGCAGATTCAATAAAGCAGTTCTAGCTTTTGAATTAAGTGAACTGACTTCAGTTGCTATGCATCCATCGTTGCTGATGAGCTGCCAAGGCAAGTGAATTGATCAACTACCTCGAGATCCTCACCATCAAGGGTCCAGAAATTGTCAAATGGCTGGTAACCCTGCAACAACACATTGCAGTTTGAAGGCGCGAAGCGCATAGCAAACAATGGGACTACTCTAGACAAGCCATTCAAAGTTGATTGGGCCGCCCCAACATCGTTAAACAGCAAGATGATGTCGTCCGCATAATCAAGATCAAGTAGCTTTCCCAAAGGCAACATCTCAATGCATGCATCGTGAGATTCCGCAAGGAAACTATGCATAATGTAGTCCACGACGAAGTTGAACAAAAATGGGGGAATTGGATAACCCTGACGCGACTTGTAGGGTTCGAGTATACAGCACGTAAGATATTCACAAATGTCATTGGAACACCTTTCCGCGTATGTATTTCGAACAGAAGGCAGCGATCGGCTGACTTGAACGCAGTCATGAAATTCAGGAACACAGCTATTGTCCATCGGCGATATGCGGGGCGCTGCTCTAGCTGCTGCCACGCTGCGAATATATGGTCTATGCAGCCACGTCCTTGGCGGAAACCAGCTTGCTCTTTACTAATTTGAGATTCCCGTTCCGCAGTGAGGGGATGAACGAGAATCGAGGTCAGTAATTTTGTCACAACTGGCGTTAGGCTAATACCCCCGTGGTTAGAACAGTCTGTATGACTGCCCTTTTTGTATA